TTTGTATTAGACCCGTCGTCCATTTATTTGTAAGTCAATGGCTGTATCAAATTGATTGGTACTCACCTCAAATTCCTTAGACGACAGTCGGAAATGATGCTGATGCGGGACTCGGCGTCCAACGGCGGCAGGAAGTGTTTCGATTTGCCCGAACTACTGCGAAAAAGTATCATTATTAAACCAGTATCCAGAATACGAGAGACAGATGACGATGAAACCAATTTATAATATACTCATGTATCGTGCAGTAGTACCAAAATCAATCATAACAAATAAAAAACATTGTTTTTTTCTTTTGTGAATGATATCGCACCCATGGTAAATATAATAAAGTCCCAATTACAACTTTTCAGAAGAAAAATTCGAGGATTCTACGAAAGAAACTAATCGATGATTTTGTATGCTTAAATAGGATTGCCTCCGTGGCCGAACTGTTGCTATGTTGATCTGCCACATAGAGGTCCCGGGTTCGATTCCCGAACCGGGAGAAATATTTGTATGTTGGTCAATCGTGTGTCCACGGCACCCGCGATAATTTTTAATTTTATAGAATATCACAATATTTTACTACCATGATAATGCAAAGATATATATGGTATAGCGTCTGACACGTATGCTAGAAGACGTCGGTTCGAATCCGGCCGGATCGAAGGAATTTTTCTGAGTGTTCGATCTTTGTATTAATAATTATAACGAATATTACTTATTTGACTGTAATTGTTTCGGACAAATGTCGGACGAAGGACGAGAGTAGATCCCCAGACGCTAGTATATATTTCCACCTGACTCTCGTCCTATAGGGGGCACTACGTCGTCTCTGGCTAGGACCGAAAACTGATGGAATGTGCATATTATTTTAAGAAATCATTTATCCCTATATAAAATACTCCAAGCGTTCTTTAAAAAGTCACCTGTTTTAACTGTAATTAAAAAGATTATAACAACGTTTCGAAGATAATTTTGTCACACTTTAATAAAGTTATATTTTTGCGATAAGTATGTCTGCCGCCATTAGTTGAAAGGGCATGTGACACTTTCAAAAAATGAGTACATGTACTGCCGAGATCGAAAGACGAATCCGCCACTATTTTTTTCCTAGGTGGATTAGGTATGAAGCTACCGTAAGAGAAATTTTTTTATGGTCTAACAAGTCAAATGGACGCTTTTCCAAAACAAATTGGTAAAAAGGCGTAATTGCATATAAACGTCATTACGTTTTAACTACACATTTTAATAACTTCAGTAAATGAAAAGACGTCACTCACACAAGTCACATTTAACTTTCTAAATCTTCCTCAGTTCCATCTCTACTTGTATGTGAGTAGTTGTTGAAAAGTGTTAATTTCCCAGATGACAATGTTCACATAAATTTAAAATAAAGTGGAAATCATCATTTAAATAATAAAATTCTTGAAAATGTCAAGTTACGACATTGTAACCCATTGTAACCACATACCTACTGCCCTTTCATTTTATTATTACACCAATGTTAACAATAGTGTTGTAATTATGCTAAGTTGAAAAGGCATAAGTGGTTACTTGCGCCCATCTTACCTAGTATTGAGTATTTTACGAACTTTTTTTTTACTAAGTTTAAAATAAAAAAGGGTAATAATTATATAATGAAGCATAAATAATAAAATATTTTAATTTCATATTTTGCGTATAATATAGTTTTATGTTACTGCATCTACAGAAAGTGTCTAAGTTTTTTCGTTTGGAGACAGCAGATATATTTCCATTTAAATTCTTAAAACATTATTTTCTCGGTTTAGAGTTTTTGTCACAATCGCCCTTTCTACTATAACGGCGGCAGATGTATATTTTAAACTTATTTAACTGTAGGTAAGGATCTGCTATTAACACTATTGCCTGTCTATCTGTTGGTTATAATTGATTTTATTTGAGTATTTCATAATTAAATTTACTAATAACAATGAGAACTCAAATATCCAAATAATTATTAATTTCAACAACAACAACAAGGTTCCCCCGAAATAATTCCAAGGAAATTTTTCATTAGTTTTTTATAATTTTTTATTTATTTTTATCTATTATAATATCAAGTCACGCGACGAACAAGTCGTGCGCCTGATGGTAAGCGACACACCTATAACAGTTGCAGTGCCACTCAAAGCTTTAAATCGCGAAGATTTGAGGAGAAGATTTCGCCAGTCACCCTGAGACATGTTGATAAGTCCCATGTGCCTGTAATTTCACCACCACCCTTCGAAACCGGAACGCGGTAATGCTCATGATACTGCTTGAAGTAAGAAAAAGATAGGGTGGTACTACTTCCCTAGATGAACTCTTTCACAAGGAGCCCTACTGCTACTAAATATCCGTCAAAACTCCGTCAATCAATTTACCAATTCTTTCAATAAACAATTTATAATTCATTTCTGTGTTAGTAATATTACCTGCTCCCTGCATTGCTCGCACATCTCATTTTGCGTTTTTTGGCCTTTTTGTGCAAAGTGTTGTTACTTGAATCACGTTTTTCTTTACACTTCTTTTTTTTGACATTTGATTCTTTTACCCCCTCCATTTGTATCGGTTTATCATATAATTTTGTAAAGAAACGGTTATTTGTTTCACGGCATAATTTCTCAGTTTACGTACTCGACAATGGTTGAGTGACATTGGTTGACATAATTACCACAAAGAATGTATAGATTCGGAATGAAAAAAAGAAATTGAATCGACTGTAGACTCCATTAATTTTGAAAAAAATGACGCTTATCTATGGACATAATATTAAACATAAATCATTTTGGTACTGACTCTGAATAGTTTTTTGGTAGTTGAAACTCTTGAAACTACACAACATGGATCTGGCCATGTTTTATAAAACTGCTGTACTTGACAAATCTTTAATAAATTAGTAAAATGAGATTTAATGTTTAGTGGGTGACTAAATAGTCGGGTTTATATTAGGTACCTACCAAATTTTCGTCTTCGCATATAAGTTTCTTATTAAATAATCAAAAAACGACCTGACCGGAATGTTGTTCAACATGAATCAAGAAAAAAAAGAAACAAGAGAGAAAAGCATACGTACCAAGGCCGAATTAGTCGGCTCATAGAACGCCCTTTACCCCAAGAGGTTCGTCGCTTCATACGTTCCATCCCCACCGTGGAATCTCCGGCGCCGTGCAGCGATCCGTCTATTGGCGTAGTGTTCTTCTGGATGCTCATAGACGACGTCTGAGGTAACACAAATGGACTTGTTGCAACAGTTTAATGAGTGTATGAAACCTGACAATCGGGAGGCTGAAGGGCGCTAGAACCGAAGAAAGTGGTAAATCTTTAGGCTCTACCTGGCCCGCTGGAAGTCAAGTAGTAACTTATACTTATATTTAAGATTATAAATGGCATCGTTGATTCTCCTTTCTTAATGAGTCGTATTTCATTCAAATGTCCTAGGGTTAATACTCGCTCCAACACAACATTGTTTTTCGTACCTATTTGCAGTACACTGGGAATAGGTTTTTAATCAGAGCATGTAAATCTTATAATGATCGTTACCACCACATCGATATATTTACCTGTAAACTAAATTGTTTTTGTCAAATGTTAAAAAAGTAGATTTTAGTTAATAAATTAAGTAATTATTTCTTTTCTGCAATAATTGTCTCAATTTTTTAAAACTTGTTTAGAGCTTTGTCATTTGGTTAGGCCTTTGTTTACAGAATTTTGTCATTGTGTAGTAGATTAAGTGCTTTCGTCCATCACTTTGTGAATTATCTATCATTGGAAACAAAATTTGGCTAAATTTAATATTTAATAGGTAAACAAAACATTTATGTAATATGTAAGCTGTATGTTTCTTTAAATAAATAAATAAATATACATATTCCTTACGTATTGCTCGCGAAGCTTACAACAGAAAACAGGAAACTTCAAAAGATTTAGAGAGACTAGATGCCTCACTAATGGTAGTGAGTTAACATGGGTTAAAAGACTAATTTCTGCAACGTTTAAGTTAAAATATAACTTGAATCACGATATAATAATATATACCCTCTTGACAGCTGTCTTACCTTACAAATCAAGCCTTCAGTACTGTAATCTGTGACCTTTTGCAACACCTCGCTGTCCGTGTTTAAATCGAGATCTGGCGAGGACTGCGCCTCTATCGACGGAGTCTCACAAACGGGGTACCAGCTGCCGTTGTCATCCACTCGCTCGATTAGCGGAGGCAAACGGTTACCGTCCTAGCATTTAAAACAAACAAATCATCAGGTGATCCTTATCATAGTTCTTCTTCTCCTTTTTGCTTATTAGCGATGCCCTTTTTGAATTTTGCCAAGATCCGATTAGTAATTTTAGAGGCTTCTGTAGGTTCTGCTATTGAGTATTGTATTAGTACTATGTGATAAAGTACAAGGATAAAGTACAAGCTATCGTTGTTCAGTTGACCACAATCATGAAAAGTATTAATAACCACTAAACTTGAGGCATAGGTAATACTCGTAAACTATCTCCCACAGGACACTCTCAACATTGATGAAACTTTCAACAGATGATTATCTATCTAGCGAAGCATTTTTTATGTCTATGTTTTAATCAGAGCTTTGAGCACCGATGTCTAGTACCGCGCCTTATTTCGGTATTTTGAGGATACATTGCATGAATTAATCTCCCCTTGCCCTTCCATCACCGATTAACCCCACGACGTGAAAGATTTCACCCTTGTATTGTAGAAATTGCATGATTTCGTACGAAAAGTTTAGCTTTTACGTTTATTACGCTTTTCAGTCCTATTTTATCTGTATTTATCAACTGCTTGGATATTTTCAGGTGAAACTGAATGGAGATCTAGCCAAACAATTACAATTCTCGGCTGCACCACCACTTTATCACATCAGGTAGTGGACAAACGTAAGCATAACTTAAAAGTGAGGGACGGTCATACCTATAAGATCCACCATCCATATCAATTTTCTACTATATCTTTGCATACTTCGTTGTATTTTTAAAACTACGCAACATTGTAATTGCGACATTATTGCTTACCTTGTCGGTCTACACATCCAAGTAAATCGCACATGAAAGGAAAATATTTGTAAATAATAACTGAAGGCATCGTAAAGAACAAATTCAATAAAGCATGGTGAAGCTACCATTAAAGTCTCACGGTGAAGTGTTCCATCTTTTCCCACGTAATATGTCCTGAGGTTCAATTTGGCTGGGAACCTGAAGATGAAGGAAACCGTTAAAAAAGGATAACCCAGAACAAGTATGTACGGGAAGCAAAAGAAACTATATACTTATTTATTTAAAGACCATTCGTGACTGTACACTTGTTACCTATATCCAAATCCAATTCTGAGCTACACGTGATAATTTGGAAGAATGTACACATATTTTGCCAACTATCACTTCACATCTGATACTATTCATTGATGTGGAAGTGAAACTACAATCAAAAGGTTAACAAAAGCATAAAGCTCTTATTACACTCTCACGAAGGAGTACAATTCAAGAAATAAAAGAAATTATAAATCTACTTATGTCAGACTTAGCAAGAACACAACATGAGTTTGAAAACACGAATCGAAAACAATGGTCCGATGGCAAATAAACAATTACAATTCTTTTTCAATTTTTCGTTGTTTTTAAAGACGTGAAAGAAAGACAAATCTAACCAGTATTTTTCTGGGATATCTTCTACAACAGGAAGTTTCAGAGAGTCGGCGCTGCACGCTTCCGTCTTAGGCAAGTCATAAACCACACAATTTTCAGGTTTATTGAGGTAAGTTCGACACCAGGTATCAGTGGGTGAGTAGGGAGGCGGTTCGTCAGGTATCCAAGACTCTACTCGGTTAGGAATGTAGCAAGGAGGATAAGCCGTAGGATCTTCGCCTGGGTCGTGACGGTAGAAGTGCCTTTGGAAAATGGAATTTATTAATTCTTTTTCAGGTATTGTCATTAAATAGGTATAAAGTGCGAGAAACTCACTGTCCGCACTGGTGTCGCGTTTAGTACACAAGTTTAAACATTAACTATTACACTTGATCATATTAGCACGACCTAACGTAATATTGTATCATATTAGAGTTTTGTCGTGTTGTACTACCACCAACACAATATTGAATAATGCAGTTGTTCTGACCCTAAAGTAACTATAAACACTTGTTTTATGGAAATCGGAAACGACGACCGTAACACAAATACCCACACCAAAGACAATATAGAAAAGATAGTGTACCTACGTTCATGACGCGGCCGGGGATCGAACCCGAGACCTCAGAAATGGCGACACCATGAAAACCCGTGTACAAGCCACTGGACCGCGGAGGTCGTTTTATTATGGCTTCATTGAGTACCTATTGAGTATGTTTTAACGACTAGAATCTCTAAAATAGAACTACTGATCTTTGCCGGCTTGCTGTGACTACAGTAAATTCTACAGGATATATCACGAGAGTGTGCAATGGGATTGCACGACTTGATTTCGTTTTCCCGCCGCGGTTAGAGACTGGATTCGCTGCATGTGAACCTTATTCCCCGAACGCTATAACTATGACCTTTTCAAAGTCAGAGTGACCTCATCGTCACTTTCCATCAGGTGAGATGGACGTCAAATGCGCACTTATTTTTTGTATAAAAAAAAGTTGCAGTCAAATAGAAATACCATCATCTCCTTGATCTTCCGACCTTCGAACGACGCACTCGGTGTGAAGAGCACGTCAAGTGCTATCCTCAGAGAGACTCAATGGTAACAAACAGTCACGGCAATTAATTCTATTGCATAATACCGAGAAAATATTAAATAACTTTACCAATCAATGAGTTTCAGCCAGGCCTCGGCGGCGCAGTGGACGACGAAGAAAATGTTTTGCTTCTCCATGTAGTGTTCATATCCGATGCGTAGCGCATTCTCGAGCATCTCCTCCCGGATGTCCAAGCACACCAGCTCGTTTTCTTCTTTTTGAAGGACCTCAGCCCTGACACCGAAGTTCAACTTTCACAAAGTGCCTAATTAGTACTATTTTTATTATTGGCACTTTTCTTTGTGCGAGTATACAAATACATCTCAGAGCATACAATTTACATACAGTCAGCGAAAACCTCTCGTTTTCAACGTAGGTTAAAAGGCGTACTGTAAGTTCAAACTAGTCAGCTAAAATTAGATGCGTATCGACTAATAGTATGATGATTAAGACTCAAGAGTCACAGAATGACAGTATATAATAACAATAGAATATTACGCGCCATATCAAAATAGGCACTGGTGGTCATAGAATTAAGAACGATTAATGACACAAAGCTATTATTATTTTGCAACAACCATTAAGTGTAGAATTAATTTAAAAATATGCTCTGACGGTGTTAAACAATATTATCTGGATTGACCTGTTTTATTTAGCTTAATAATCTTGTTTAAATAATGGTACCTTTAAATATTTTTATTTATTAAATCACAGTCACTCAGTTACTTCCCGAAACACTGGCCGGACAAATAATTAAGAACTAAAATATAATTTTCTATTTTACTAATTTGAAAATAAAATGCGATAATTCTTCATTAATATTTGTATGTCCTTTGCGCGTCATTGTTGGTTTAAGAACGTTTTATGCAATTATTTATAGAAAATAATAGGAAAAATAAATCTTGCGACTCTGCTACAAGAGAAGTTACCATAAAGCTGCGTGGTCGTAAGCCGTCATATCAGAAAATTACAGATCTTTGCAGTACTCAAAAAGAAATATGAATCAGACCGTGAAACATTTCCGTCACATTTGGCCGTCAAACACACTAGACAACTATGATATTCCCCGTAAACCTAAACAAAGAAAAACGTCTCCACGAGAAGATTCAAGAATAGTTAATTTGGCTAAGTAGACTCAAATCAAATAAAAAACGAAGTTTTTAATGAAAACTATCCTCGCGCAGTATCTGGACGCACCGTTCGAAGACGCTTGGTGGAGGCACACTTATTTGGGAGAGTAACAAGGTGCCCATGTTGACACCACGACATAAGACAGGCCCGATTTGCGTTTGCAAGGAAGTATGAACACTGGACAGAGGCGAAGTGGAAGTATGTACTTTTCTCGGATAAAACTAAATTTAACAGACTATGCTCTGATGGCAAGCAGTACGTACCTAAGAATATGGTATTTATAATCCAAAATACACGAAAAAGACTGTGAAGCACGGTGGTGGACACATTAAGATTTTGGGTTGCTTTTCTGGTTATGGCGTAGGGCCTACTAGGCTGATACAAGGTATTATGGACCATAACCAATACAAACACATCCTTGAGGAATGTATGCTACCGAACGCTGATGAATCTCCCGGTAATTTGAACATTCCAGCATGACAATGACTCGAAACATACAGCCTAATCTGTACGAAGATTCGACACTCGACAGCCAACTGGTTACTGTGTTGGACTGGCCAGCCAGATCTTAATCCAATAAAGCATCTTTGGTGTCAAGTCAAAAAGAAGTTGGCAAACAGACGATGTAGTAACGTGAACGAATTGTACAATGCGCTTTTAGAAGAATGAAACTCTATTTCACATGAAAACCGCAAAAAGTTAATGCCGCCGCTGCCGTGTCGTTATCCACAGTCGAGGACAGGCTACTAAATATTAAATTCCTTTCTCTTTTTTTATCATAATATTATTAAGAAGAAAACGTTGTTAAATTAATTAAAATATACCACTTCTCAAATTATAGTAATATTGTGAATACTAGTCAAGACCCTACCTCGTTCTTAACTGTTTGTTTAGCCTCCATCCTATTTCAGTTTACACAAAATTAAAATTATTCTAACTTTAACAGTATTTTTAATTATTATATTTTTATTTAATTTTAGATTTTGTTCGCCCCAAATGTGTACTAGCTAGCACTAGAGTCACTATTTTCCAGTAAGGGTTATTATGTTTATTATGAACATTTGTATATCAAAATGGTGCCGTATTATGAAGCGTTCTTAATTCTATGACCACCACTGTATATATAATTATTTCTTGTGTTAATATTAATAGAACATATAATAGGTTGACTATGATGATGAATAACTAAATTTTAGAGGGATCCCAAAACTCAATTTACCAAGTTCTCTCAGGAATGTCTTTCGGCAGCGCAACCAGCACCCTTTGATCGTCAAATATCTGCAGCTTTCTCCCTCGACGGGAGATGCGATTCTTGTACATACTTTGCAGACTTCGAGTACTCGCGTTTGCAATCATGATTTTTATAAATCCTCCGTACCAAAAACTTATAAAAACCGGATTAAAACATTCTAAACAAGCGAGCTTAAATTTCAATGTTTCTTTTAAATTTCGTTGGCAATTTGTCAATCAATGTGCATACATATCATAGATTTAGTTGATAAATCTCTAAGAGAATGGAAGGTAAATCTATGATACAATTTTAGTAAAAGTTTATTTAAGCTGTCTTGATGTTGTCAATGAAAAGGTAACAAACAATCAAAAAGAAACCAAGTGGATTAAGTAAATATTTTTTCAACTTGCTGAGAAGCGTACAGAAAGCGCCAAAGTGTGACAAGTATATTTTGTATTTCTACAAGGCCTAAAAGTTCTTATCAAAGAGTTTCTGTGCGTTTGGAATTTAAAATAATATGAAAATAAACTAATTACGTATTACATAAATTGTGTTTATTATAATGCTACATGCATGCGACAGATTATAAGTATTTACCAATGGTATTTGCTTAAAAACATTTGTTTTTACATTTTATTTATAAGTGCAATTGCAATTTTAATATGTTCGAGTTTTTGTCCTTTAATTTAAATTATGAACAATGATTCCTTTTAGTGATATGCATAAATATAAGCAGCTATAATTGAAGTGATTTGGCAGACATAAATTGATTAATTCACAATCATGCAACCGCCCGATGATATGCGAGGAGCGCAAGTTGTAAAAGAAAATTCTCGTGGCCCCGAAATCTAGAGGCAATAATAAGAGGTTTTCGTTCAAATGCTTTAACAACCGCCCTGTGTTACACGTGCGCCAAGGTTATTGCCCATATAACCTACTTTCTGGTAATTCTAGCAGGACAACGAAGATTATACCTTAGATTTACCATCCTCTAAGGGTTATAGGTACCCGTGTCAAACACAGTACGTACTATTTTTGAAAGCCCACATTTCAGACGCGTTCTGGCTGTACGGAAGTGGGTAAATAATATATTATTGAAAAACTCTACACTAGAACGTTACACCAAATATTTATATATTTGGTGTAACGTTGAAACACAATGAAATTGCGGTGTCGAACTGATAAATAAAAAATATATAATATACCTATAATCATAATCGATCTTATAATATAATACAATAATATCATCGAAGGAAATAGGTTAACAATGTAATCGTTAACAAAACAGCAATAGTGAAGCTTGGTCTTTTTAAATTATTTGTCGCGAATAATGGAGTGGCTATTATATATACCAACAGAATTATACGTCAATAGCTACGCCAATCGATAATTGTTAGTATCTATAAAACTAAGCGTTAGTTTGCACACATTCACACATTTGGATTATTCACCAAGGTGATCGATCGATGGCGTTTCGTCGGCAGTAAAACAAAACAACAAAAGTATAATCGATGTGGAAGCACAAATGGAAAACAAGACGTTTTTTAAATTTTTGGCGCTGCACGGAGAAAACGGAAACAAAACTGGCCAGAAACAATTGTGACAGTTAACCATAAACTACCTAAATTTCAACGGTTGACAGCTGTTTGAAAAATAAACGTGACAAAAACCGAGCGCAAATTTTATAGAAATCTCCGAATTATTTTGTCTTTAAAACATCAAAAGTGAATAATGAACATTTACCTTAATTAGGAAAATGTGCAGTTTAGAATGAACGGTAAATAATGAGTGTGTATTTTCTGTACTGTGCTATCATTTGATGATAATAATGTATACTTTGAAAGGCATATTCCCTGAACCCAGTAAGTTCTAATTGTTATATTATCAGTTTCTTTTCGATCATAACTTTTGTAGATAATAACATAGTAAATCATTGAGTCGACAGGACCTAATAGCCAACCTTCAAAATGTGAAGTGTGTGTGAACTTAAAAATACCTAGTGCGTTGTCATGGGCATCTCGATTTGTTATGACGGCACCGTCACTAAGGCTTCATGTACATATATTATGCACAACACATGACTAAGACAGAATATTTGTTTCAGAAAAAGAACAAAAAAAGAACTTTATCAGGGAAAACATGAAACAGCTAAAGTATATACAAGGCAAAATAAAGGAACCCAAGTTCAACACAGTAAAGAACCATCCATCTCGTCTAAGTCACCAGGCAGCGGCCGAGTGTTCGCTAGGCAAAGTCAAGTCTTCCCCCTCCAACAAAAGCGGCCAAATATCTCTTAACATAGCGAAAACCAGCTTAACCAACTCGCGTAAGAAACAGTCAGCAGACATAAAAATCAAGAAAGGTGACATGGCTGAGTTTTTGAAACGAAAAGAACTCTTGAAACAAATGAAGTCAACTGGCGATTCCACAGAAGATGCGAGATCAACAGAATCGTCTGGTCGCCTCAGAGATATCGGGTGTCAAACAGTTGAAACAAATCTTGCTCAGAAATTAGAAGAGAGTACAAAGTTAACAATGCTTTATCCTAAAAAGGATGAGGATGAAGCAAAGTTGAAAGCAAGTGGTGACTCAGCACACCACCGCAGCCCAAGCCGCTCACCAAATCTAGCGACGCCGCGGCGCGCTGGCGACGCGCTACAGGACTTCGAACGGCCACGCAGTCGATTGAATGCCATTCTAGAGAGAAAAGTACCAGATAACAAGGATCCTTTTCTCCCGTCAAGTACATTTCAGATAATTTACTTAAAAATTATATCATATACAATGTATAGTAAAGAAACTTATTGTTTTGATGTTTTGTAAATGTTTCAGATTACCAGAAAGGTGTACTACCAAAATACCTTCGTGAGCGCAAGGACGCCGGTCCCAAGGATGCTGAGGGTGCGATGGCTGATAATGAACAAGCTGTATGTCCTCCAGGACATGTTACTTTGCCTGATACTGAACGTAAAGAAACTTTAAGGATGCTTAGAAATAGTATGTACAATGTTGTATCATTGCCACTATAACTGGGTTTCTAGTCAAATTATTTTTCTGAAAATTATATCAATGGACATAGTATTCTATGGCTTTGTGTATTTCAGGTTTTGCAGAATTAGTAAGTGAACTGAATAAAATGCCTGTGAAGACTGACACATTGAGAATGCGCAATCGGAAAATGGAGCTAGAAAAGCAATTGACCAAACTTGAGGAGGGTATTAAAGTATTCTCTCGACCCAAAGTGTTTGTCAAGATTGGCGAGTGAAGGATTGTTATCACTTGCCTGAGGATATTCTGGCCATTCCCAATTATTTGACTCTCAGGCCAGTTTTGTTCATGAAGAGCTTCATCATAAAATACCTGGTTAATCAACACTGAATGTTAAAAATGAATGAATCAAATTAAGCTAAACTGGTTCATTCAATATTGTTTTGAACATCTGTTATCTGCCTCATGTAAATGTGGCAGACAACAAAGCTACAATATTCACTTAAATAAGTGATTTGTTTAGTGACAGTGGTTTGTCTTCAAAATTGAAGTAAACAATCTGATCTTGTATTGTGTAGAAAATAATAAAGTATTTTGTTTGTTTGTAACATTGTTGTGTAAAAATGTTTATTTAAAAAGTGTAAAATGGACAATATTTGCAGAATAAAGACATGGGTAAATCCATGGATCACACGTAATTGTTATACACGTTTTTATCAAAAATTGAATGTAAATGTTGTGAAATTCCAGTGATCTCATAAACTTAAGTTAATTTGTTTATTACCTAGCATGTATGTTAGTCTACTATTATCATTACAATATGTACTGGGTTGTTGTAATTAATATATTGCTAATGTTTGTACGGTTTACAGTGTTTCTATAACATATAATTTTTGAAGATGTGAATACTTAATATGTATTTTATTTAATAGTCTACTTAATTCTTTGGTAAATGAAATAAAAGGATAATGAGGAAGATAGAAATTATATTTCTATTGAATTAAATATATACATTAACTATTTTGCAACATAAACTCAGGTACTTTAGTATCTAGTTGTTTGTACATCAGACTACAATCTTCTAACATGTTGAAAAAGGTGGTTGTTGAAGATTATGGGTCCTTTTCTGTATGTGACCTCATCGCTATTGTGCCAATGATAAAAGGAGAAATCGGGGAAGAAAAATTTTATCTCCCGCTCGGCTGATGTGTAGGAATCTAGAAATAAAAGTTTATGATCAAAGTTAGATTGAAAAACTTAAAATTGTGTTACTATTATAACACACCCTCCACCTAAGTTCTCCACTGTCAGAACTATCAAAACCCTTCAGGGTTGGGTCAAGATTAAAACTTTCCAGGAAAGTTAAACCTTCAGTGATTGCTACAAAAAGACCACAATTAGCTACAAAAAGTTGAATACAAATTATTATATTATACCTGAACCATGAGCCACATTCCTTGTGTCAGAGATGCCAAAGATGCCCCGCAAACAATATGGGTCCTCAAATTGACCTTTATATACGCTGGTGGGGCCCAACATCCGCCGCCATAACTCTACCGCGTTCGCATGACCTATTATGTGCAAGTCTATGGAGCCACTGAAAAAAAAAAACTAATAAACCAATTGGCTGTTAAAAATAGAACTTGCATACTTATAAGGGTGTGATAAGAACCTAATGATAATGGCTATTGTATTTGAATATTCCGAAGTCAAAGACAACTTATAGTCAACGATATTATACACTTTTTCTAGTCTACTCCTCAGTCATGACAAGAAACAGAGAAATATGTATATTTAGAAATTAGGTTAAGTTGAAATTTTGTGAAGAAGATGCAACTTTACCTGGTCATAAAGGTAACCAAGCGGTTGTAAAAGAACTTCCCAACATGCTCCTTGTAAAATTTCCCCGCAGCTTCTTTGTCTAAAGTAACATTCTTGGTTTTTACTACGACGAATGAATTTTTCAAAACATTTCTTATGTACGAAACAGCAACTGGATTCTTAACTGCGTGGGGTTTTATTATTGCTAAAGTTAGTTGCAGCTTTTGCATTATGCTAATTTATCGTTTATTTAACTACTTCATTCATAATTTTAAAAATTAAAATTGAAAATTCAAAAACCTTTGAATGACAAACCGCACCTATTTTGCACAGAATTGTCGCTGTATAGCGATAATATAATGCTACAATAGCCACTTTTAAGTTAATTATTGCCGAGGAGTTGTTTTAAAAAGTGGTGGTGTAAATAAAGCTTTCGTAAATTTGCAACAAAACAAGATATACATTCTATAAAATATTCTTACTTCTCTTGGCTCTCCGCGGTAAGCGTTTTAGCCACTTTCAAAGTGTTTTGACTAACTTGTTTTTAAAACGAGGAAACTTATAAAATATCATGGAATGTAATTTGGAAACGGGATTCCAAAGTTGGAAAAAAAATGAAAAAGGAATCAGGCGAGGAATTATGAGATGTAAATAAACATGGTAAAAATAAAGAATAAATATTATGTTATTATTACAGCAGTTAAATTTTTATATTATTTTCTAAAGTAAATTTAGATAAATATATATATAGAAGAGTTATTGGACAACAACAGAAGGTGGATGGAAGTCGGAAGAAGCAAGAAGAGAATATACTAGCCCTATAAGGTGGGGTCGGGCTCGGCCTGCGGCGCAAAGTCAAAGTCAAAGATTATTTATTCCATAGGTAAAATAAATTT